CCAGCCATTAAAATCTAGGCTGTCTGCAACCTCCCAGAGGGCATTCTCCGTAATTGCCCCCAGCTTGTGGAACGGCCTGTCAGAGGAGATCCATCAGATTACAATGCTAAACAGCTTCAAAAAGGCTGTTAAGATGGATTTTTTTCCAGTAGACTTTTCCAGAATAGATTTCCTGGCCTCAGGAACCCTCTTATTCTGTCCTCTCCCAATTTGAATGCTGCCACTACTCTGCTTCTCCTATTATATTTTGCTGTTTATGGTTTTATTTTATTGTATGTTATTTTAATCTAAGATGTTTTAATTGCATTGGTTTAATACTTTTTTTAAGGGGGGTGGGTATTAGGTCTTTTTGGATTTATATTGTATGGATTTTTAATTGTTGTTAGCTGCCCAGATTGTGCACAGAGGGGCAGGGTGCAAATTATTATTATCATTATTATTATTATCATTATTATTATTATCATTATTATTCCCCTTGTAGTCCCCATGTGGTTCATCAAATGGCATGGTTCCTCAGCCCTTCAAAATGGTGCTTGTATGTATATGTCTAGCAGCCAAAACAAATGTCCCATTTAAAAAAAGGCAAACTCCACTTGGAAGCAAAGGATGTAGGATTAAGGTGGGTTTACAGCAGCAAGCAATAACCAGTATAACCACTCCAGACATCTTTCCACTAGCCAATGGATATCTGCAAGCTTTTAATAAGTTTTATTGTCAATGTGACATTACATACTTTTAAATTTTTAATGTTGAAAGGGCAGTGGGGGGTGAAATAGGTTAATGTATTCTCTTTGCTCTTCTGTGAAAAACTGAAGCTTATAACAAATGTAGGCAAAACATAATAGTTTTCTCAATATATAACTGCCTGAGATTACTGTATATACAGAGGCAGAAAGGGGAGGCATTCTATTCTGATCTGCAAGGATATATTTGATAATAAGTCTAGTGTTGCTTTAAGATTCAAAAGTCATTGAATTTGTGCTTGCTCTGAGCTTCCAGCAAAGCTTAAAATGAATAATATCAAAAGAAGGTGGGTGGGGGGATATCACAATGGGAAAGCAAATCAAACAATGACTTCTTGTTGCACACACACACACTTGCACACAAACATATTGTTTGTTCTATCTTCATGTGAGGTAAATATATTTGATGATATTTGCGATGTTTGAGGCATGCTTAACTAATATTCTGTTCCACTTTAAGCTAGTTGTGTTTTTTTAATAAAAATAAAAATAGTTTATTCAGAATATTTGTCCCTGAAAATCTACATCACTTCACCCTGCATCCATGTTGTATATATACTTAATTTGTAAACCAAGAAGAAGTGCAATGGCAGAGGATTAAACTCAGAAGATTGACTACATATAGACTTGAATTACATAAAGGACTGCTGCTTGAATAGATTTACTCCTCTAACCACTGTGAATAGGAAGGACATACATGTCATATCCAAAAAACATACTCTGAATGTATAATTATCAATTTTAAAAAAGAGATTATTGATGTTTAAATATCACATTGGAGGTCTATTATTCTTTCACAGCTATCAAGAATAGAAGAAATGGCAGCATTAGAAAGTTATAAGAAATTGCAGCATTAGAAAATAAAGTTACATTAGTGGGTGCATCAGCTTCATTCTCATACCTAGTATTTTATTATTTAATGCCATTATTACACATGTACATTGACTTCACAGGGTTTAATGTAGGCTAATAGGTATTTAATGATTAAATTGGAGCTTACAAAATACCACAGGGTTAAACCAGTAGCTACCAGTTTTTGAGATCTCTGTGTTCACAATGTCAAAAGTTAAAAGCATGCAATTTACACATTATTAAAATTCAAGGTCAGTGTATCCAAGTATAAGAGTGTTGCAGGAAATGTAAAACTGGAGTCCCAGGAGTCCTCTGGCAATTACAAAGATATTTAAAAGACAAAAGTTGTTTTGGTATTTACACACTATGTACAGTGTACTGCAGCCTAAAGGTAGAAAGATAGCTAATACAGGTCAAAGATGAGAGAGGAGCTTGGATTTAGGTCAGCACATGAGAAAAATCATGAAGAGATGTGAGCATGTCAGTGGGTGACATAGTAACCTCTAATAAACCAAGGAGGACCTTAGATGAATAACAAACAAGGATTGAAGGATTAGGTAGGATTGGAAAGTGCAACATGAATAGACTTGTTTGTTCACAGAGTGTAACCCAGTGCCCAGTCAAAGAAATGCCATTAGGATTAGGTTCTCAGGCGTAACTATAAGAAGGAAAGCAGGAGAGTGGCCAGAGTCACAGAAGACCAGCTGAGTAAATGGAAGTGGCACTGGGAAACATGATATACTTATGCTTAGCCATCCTTTAGCAACCCAGGAAAGGAATTAATAACAAGTAACAAATATATCATTGGTAGTTATATCCAAGTTCTGGTTAATAATAATAATAATAATATGATTTATTTGTATACCGCCCCTCT